ATATATGACGATTCGTAATCCCAGTAGGTGTTCGCGTTAAGACAAGCGCAGAGCTGTCAACGGTTCACAACCTTGTTGTTGGCACGCCGTGCTGTTAGACATGAAGTACCATACGACGACCTAGTGGCAAAAGCAACCTGAGAATCAAATGGGAAACATTATCTTCGGTAGATGCGAAAGCCAAATTTGCAAACAATATCGCAGGATGATTTGAACAAATCCCAGCGATGACAACTGATGTTGAAACCGAATGGCAGCTGTTTAAGAGGGGCCTACTCGAGGCTGCTGCCGAATGCTGCGGATTTTTTTTTATTAGTTCATACGGGTTGGCCTGCCGCCTGGAGGTCAGAAAAGATCTTCATGGTGGACACGAGAGGTACAACTGGCAGTTACACAGAAGAAAGCAGCGTTCAAGAAATGGCTTGGAAACAAGGAGCCTTCTACTCGCGTGCGATATGTCGAGGCATGCAAGGCAGCAGGGAAAGCACTGGCGAAACCCAAAGCTAATCCATGGAAGAAGTATGTCAGGTGTTGCAGTCGAATTTACGTACAGCAGACAAAGTATTCTGGCAGACCATCCGCCGGCTCCTAGGAGAAAAGAAAGGTAGTCCAGAGTCTTGAAGGACAGGTCTGGACACCCTCTTACCAAGGATGATGATATTCTTTGGCGATGGAGGGGGTACTTTGAGCAACTCCTTAACCCCGCGCAACCGCAGAAAGACTCATCTGTAGAGCAGCATAGAACGGTTATTACTCTCTCTGTAGATGAAACGACAGATGCTGTAAAAAGCTTGAAAAATTGGAAAGGCTGCTGGAATTGATGAAATCAGCCTTTAAATGCTGAACATGCATTAGAACAACGTAGTGCTGGCTTAGACGTATCTGTCAAATTGCAATGGGTAGGGGAATCAGCGACATGGAGAACAGCATTTGCAGTAGACCTGTTCAAGAAAAGACATCACAATCAGTGCTCCAGTCATCAGAACATTGCCTTTCAAAGTCTCACGAGTAAAGTCTACGCTAAGGTGCTAGACAGATCTGACTGAAGCGCACCTGAAAAAACATTTGCCTTACGGCAGATTGTCCAGAAATGTGAGAATTTGCGTGTCCGGTGTATATGTGCTTTGTGGACTTAGAAAAAGCCTATGACCGGATCCCGCGTAACAATTTATGGGCATACCTGCGAACATATGAATTCGGTGGCCAGTTGCAACGTGCCATCCAATGAGTATATGATGATGGCAGGTGTTGCGCCAGAGTAAATGACGTTAAATCGAAACCTTTAAACGTTGACACTGGTCTCCACCAAGGCTGCGTCCTGTCGCCTCTCCTGGTTGTGTTGCACATGGACAGAATAGTCAGGAGCTATCAAGGCGATGAGTGTATCGGTGTAGGAGATGTGGAGAAGCAAAGCTTGCTGTTTGCAGATGACCTTGTTTTATTGGCATCTTCTGAAATTGATCTCCAGTGCTCCTTAGAAAGGTTCGCAGCCGAGTGCGACGTGACCGGCATGC